CCGCAAACAAAAGGTGCAAAGATTTTTGTACACCATATCCGGATTTCGACAATTAATGTCTCTTCAGTGATGTTAGGAATCGAAACGGTATTTGGAAGGCCATATAATTTACCTCAATTTAGGATAGACTCTTGAATTTTGAGGAGTCAAAATAGGATGAACGGATCATATAAACCCGAAGGCAAATATAATACAAGCCCAAACGAAAAAATATAAACAAGTCTAAATTGAAAACAACGTTCAAACCTATGATTGCGTTGGATAAAAACCGCAATTTTTATACATGTGCATGCAAAACAAATTTCTTGTTAGAGGGGTCTAAAAACAGCACAAACAACATTTTCCAAAAGACCAAAAAAGTGAAAAAGTATATTTTAACAAAACGCATTTGACTAAGCGATTGGTGCTGTAGTGTATTAAAGGTGTGAGTTCGAATCCCGTTGAGGGAACATTTGTCAGCATAAAAATCTAATTCTAACACTGTTGGGTGTAATTTTTCAGACTTATATATATATATATTGTTTGCGGTATACCATCTTTGCCGCAAGTTTATTGTTTTCTGTTTGGTATTAATTTATAAATAAGATCCATTTATTACACCTGGTGATCCGTTTATTTGGCAATCGCCAATGGCAGTCGGCAGGGTTTAAGAACATTTGTTGTTCGACCTGTTAGTCAAATGCGTTTTGTTAAAATATACTTTTTCACTTTTTTGGTCTTTTGGAAAATGTTGTTTGTGCTGTTTTTAGACCCCTCTAACAAGAAATTTGTTTTGCATGCACACGTATAAAAATTGCGGTTTTTATCCAACGCAATCATAGGTTTGAACGTTGTTTTCAATTTAGACTTGTTTATATTTTTTCGTTTGGGCTTGTATTATATTTGCCTTCGGGTTTATATGATCCGTTCATCCTATTTTGACTCCTCAAAATTCAAGAGTCTATCCTAAATTGAGGTAAATTATATGGCCTTCCAAATACCGTTTCGATTCCTAACATCACTGAAGAGACATTAATTGTCGAAATCCGGATATGGTGTACAAAAATCTTTGCACCTTTTGTTTGCGGTATACCATCTTTGCCGCAAGTTTATTGTTTTCTGTTTGGTATTAATTTATAAATAAGATCCATTTATTACACCTGGTGATCCGTTTATTTGGCAATCGCCAATGGCAGTCGGCAGGGTTTAAGAACATTTGTTGTTCGACCTGTTAGTCAAATGCGTTTTGTTAAAATATACTTTTTCACTTTTTTGGTCTTTTGGAAAATGTTGTTTGTGCTGTTTTTAGACCCCTCTAACAAGAAATTTGTTTTGCATGCACACGTATAAAAATTGCGGTTTTTATCCAATGCAATCATAGGTTTGAACGTTGTTTTCAATTTAGACTTGTTTATATTTTTTCGTTTGGGCTTGTATTATATTTGCCTTCGGGTTTATATGATCCGTTCATCCTATTTTGACTCCTCAAAATTCAAGAGTCTATCCTAAATTGAGGTAAATTATATGGCCTTCCAAATACCGTTTCGATTCCTAACATCACTGAAGAGACATTAATTGTCGAAATCCGGATATGGTGTACAAAAATCTTTGCACCTTTTGTTTGCGGTATACCATCTTTGCCGCAAGTTTATTGTTTTCTGTTTGGTATTAATTTATAAATAAGATCCATTTATTACACCTGGTGATCCGTTTATTTGGCAATCGCCAATGGCAGTCGGCGGGGTTTAAGAACATTTGTTGTTCGACCTGTTAGTCAAATGCGTTTTGTTAAAATATACTTTTTCACTTTTTTGGTCTTTTGGAAAATGTTGTTTGTGCTGTTTTTAGACCCCTCTAACAAGAAATTTGTTTTGCATGCACACGTATAAAAATTGCGGTTTTTATCCAACGCAATCACAGGTTTGAACGTTGTTTTCAATTTAGACTTATTTATATTTTTTCGTTTGGGCTTGTATTATATTTACCTTCGGGTTTATATGATCCTTTCATCCTATTTCGACTCTTAAAAATTCAAGAGTCTATCCTAAATTGAGGTAAATTATATGGCCTTCCAAATACCGTTTCGATTCCTAACATCACCAAAGAGACATTAATTGTCGAAATCCGGATATGGTGTACAAATTTTTGCACCTCATGTTTGCGGTATACCATCTTTTCCGCAAGTTTATTGTTTTCTGTTTGGTATTAGATTAATAATAAAGATCCATTTTGTTACATCTTGTGATCCGTTTATTTGGCAATCGCCAATGGCAGTCAGCAGGGTTTAAGAACATCCATTGTTCGACCTGTTATTAAAATGCGTTTTGTTTAAATATACTTTTTTCACTTTTTTGGTCTTTTGGAAAATGTTGTTTGTGCTGTATTTAGACCCCTCTAGCAAGAAATTTGTTTTGCATGCACACGTATGAAAATTGCGGTTTTTATCCAACGCAATCATTGGTTTGAACGTTGTTTTTCAATTTAGACTTATATAATATATATACATATATACAAACTAAATTCAAACACATTATCAACTCGGGTTGTCTTTCCTTTTCATAATTATATAATTTCATGTTCATTATAATGTAAATATATAATATTCGTTAATAATAAGGATGATACCAATTATTATTTTCATACTTATTATATTTATTATTATATTTATTAGCTATTTTTATCATTTCTTAATCATTGTTTAAAATAAAAGAAAATATGTTCACTATATATGACAGTTATAAGAGCATCATAGGTATGACTATCTTAGGACAGCTTTGATTTATATTCTATGAGTGATCAAATGATAGTCATGACATGTATGTACACTAAAGAGATTTACCCTGCCGAACTGACTTTAAATAAAGCTAATACTAACAATGAACACTGCCCTTTCCTGGATCTTGATATCTTTATCTTTAATGGGAAACTTATTACCAAAATTTATGATAAAAGAGATGATTGTTCATTTCCTATTGTTAATTATCCATTTTTAGATGGTGACGTTCCTTTGTCGCCATCTTATGGTGTTTATATATCTCAACTTGTTCGATTCGCTCGTGTATGTAACAACGTATTTGATTTCAACGAAAGAAATCTCTGTATTACTGAAAAATTATAACACCAGGGTTTCTAGTCAAAACATTTACTAAATTTTATCATCGGTACAAGGACATCATTCGTAAATATAAATCAACATGCAGACAGCTTATACGTTCAGGTATTTCACATCCAATATTTTATGGTAATATTCTTTACAAAGCACAAAAATGTCGGCATTCACCTCAAAAGCTAACCAAACCTTTAAACAGACTTATTCGGAAAGGATATGGTTACGATACTGTTGTCAAGTCATTAAGGATTGCATATTTTGGTATTGATATTGATTCACTCATAGGGTCTTTGCATCGGAAATAAACACATTTATTCTAAAACCAGTTGTTGGCATGATACGGGTTATGTTCTTCTCATATATTTTATGATGGTATGATACTAAACCATTAACGGGAGGAATTTTACTTGATTTTCATATGATGAAGACATAATCTTTCAATCAGTTTAATTGAGGTTTGGAGCTGGCATGTCAGTAACTGCTAGTAGTCCTTTGTTCATTTATGTATCATTGTCATTTTGCTTAGTTTTTTTTTGTTACCTATTCTGACATCGGACTCGGACTTCTTTTAAACTGAGTTTTACTGTGCGTATTGCTATGTGTTTCTTTTTTCTACATTGACTAGAGGTATAGGGAGAGGGTTGAGATCTCATAAAACATGTTTAACCCCGCCGCATTTTTGAGCCTGTCCCAAGTCAGGAGCCTCTGGCCTTTGCTAGTCTTGTATGTTTTTAATTTTAGTTCATTTATATGTTTTGGAGTTAAGTGTGATGTCCATTTTCACTGAACTGGCACACAATTTTATTTAGGGGCCAGCTGAGGACCACCTCCGGGTGCGGGATTTTCTCGCTGCATTGAAGACCCATTGGTGGCCTTCGGCTGTTGTCTGCTCTTTGGTCGGGTTGTTGTCTCTTTGACATATTCCCCATTTCCATTCTCAATTCTATTATGGTTATAAAATTTGTCCTAAGATATATCTTATGACATATCTTAGGATACTTTCGAAAACCAGGCCACAGTGGTTGTCGTTTGTTGCTGTATATCACATTTTTGCCATAACACGGGCAGATCAAACGGCGAACGAGATGCATGAAGGGAAATCTCACAAGAGTTCTCGGAACCCTATATATCACCATACTGGCTATGCAAACTGTCCGCGAGATTCCAATCCATCTCATTATTAAAATGCATACCCAAACTAACAAATCATTCTTAAAACATAAAATGAACTTGCTAGGTTCGTGCCATAGGACAAGCTTAACATAAGAATGTGTTTAACTAGGTTTCGTGGGTACTTCACGCCTATTTATCTCGATCAGAGTATTGTATGTTTGAACCAAAACCAATTGCTTATAAGGCTTAAAATCGGTCTAGATTTGATAGTAGTGAATATATTGAATGTGTCCTGTAAATCTTTAATGTGAAATAAAAATCAAAACATTCGTCCAACATTCCTACCAAGAACTTATTGCTACCTTAATTTGGTCTTAGAAGCGCATTGATACTTCGCAGAAATTCATTGGGGTGATATTTATGTACAGACCATTTCTTCTTTATTTGAACCTTTTTCTGTCTTGTAATGCAAATATGCAAACCAACGCAAATATGTATGTACTGATAATTCAAATTTTGTAAAATTGAGCAAATTTGTAATACAATGGCACCCCCCCCCCCCCCCCCCCCCCGACACACACACACACACACACACACAAATTAAAGGTTTCCCAAAGAATGAAGATAAAAAAAACTTGTGATGTTAATATGCGTCAAATGTCGTATGCGCATATTCACTTTTATATGTCATTTCAATTAAATACTATACAATTTGAGAAAGAAACTCTCAGAATGACGGGAAAAAATATCCATCTTTCTGCGCCAAAAGCTATCTACACGTCACAATGTTTGACGTCTTTACCTTGTTTTCATTTTTTTTCGGGTTTGTTGCATTTATGTTTGTTTTTATAATTGTTTATATGTTGATTTATGATGCACCGCGCTTATCAGCCCCTCACGCCTGCTAATAATATTTATCTGAGAAAAAGATGGGACCAAAGTCATTACGACGCCCACAGAAAGAAGGTTTTTGCAGGTGAGTTGTGAAACCGCCATTTTGGTTTATGTTTATTATATTTTCGTGCCCTCTTTCATTACAGGATTATTTTTTCACTGCATTAGTTTATGTGAATAAAGCTAAATTGTTGACTACAGTACTTACATGCTCGATAGCATATATCATGGATAGCAGATGCTGTTATCGAAGTTAATATAGAACTGTCGCTCTCTTCATTAAAAGTAAAAAATACACGGAAGTCATCACCGAACATTTCAAAAGCTTTTCAAACAACTTGGTTGTCACCAAGAATTGGTTGACTGTTGAATACTATGTGTATCACCAACAGCCACTGAAGTTTTCGTTTTTCATAGTGACAATATCGTCCTATCGTGCCGTGCCCATGCATGATCTGAATTTTAATCTGTTTACCGAGACGATCACTATATTTGTCACACTTGGAACAGAAATTTCGTAAACTTCAGGAGCTTCTCGAGCTTATTCCTTTTATACTTAAGCTCAAAAGGCGCTTGAGTTATCTATTGCGATTCTTTTGTTCGTTGCTAGTCAAGTAGTATCCTGCAGAATGCTATAATTCCCAAACCAGGCTTGAGAACTACTGATGAAAATTATTCAAGTAACACTTATCGTATGCACTAAATAAAAAAAAAATTGGTATGCAATTAGAATTCATCGAACTGCATCTGATTATCGGAAAATATAAATAAATGTAGCTCTCAAACGTCCAAAGATACAGTCAATTGAAAATTTAAAAAAAAAAATTCCGCTTTTTACGTTCGACCATTATCACAAACTTAATTGATCGCAAATAAAACTCCAAAACAATCTTCTAAACCAATTGCCTTACTAGTTTGCCTCCATTCAAGGAAAGATAATGTTCTGGAACTTCGTATTTGATTTGCCCTTTCAACTGTTGATTCGAGCGTCACTAGTGAGTATTATGTATACGATCGAAACGCGCGTCTGACGTACAAACTTATTAGCTTAGTATGTATTTATTTGATGGGTGTTTTTTAAATAAATTTAACGGAAAGTTCCAAAGATCCGCCATCAAATACCATAAGGTTATTATCATTCTTTACAGCAATGTCTGTGGTCGACAACAAGCCACCCTCGACCTACATGCACCTTCATATAAAACTGAAGAAACTCCAGGTAAGAAAGTCGCAGGTATTAACTGAAATGTTGGGTATAATAAAATGTATTAAAATAATTTACTCACATACACAAGTTTAAAATTGTGATAAAAATTATACTATGAATTATACTGGGTATAAATACACATGTAGAAAAAGATAGCACAATTTTCGTTTTAATGTAAAACAGTATCGTCATGATAAAGCACTTTACGACATAACTTCATTTACTAGTACAAGTAGAATGGTAAAAGAAATCTAAACTTTCATTTTTCGGTTGTTACACGTGCACTCAACTGGATGTACTCAAATGTCTCTATCTGTATCTGTATCTGTATGTTACACAGTGCAGGATCCGATCGCGGATATATGCGCACTGGAAGGAGAGCTGGTTGGTTAGTCCAACTGTTGGAGGGCAGCCGCGAAACCCTCAACTATCTTTTGGCATGCGATGTTCTCTTCCAGATGGTTTCACTGCACTATCGTTTTAGGAAAAAAGGAGTCTATGTAATTTCTATCTTTGCTCTGTTTTATAACCGTAACTTTCAGGATACTAATTAGCCTTCCCTTTACATCAACCGAAGTGTCACTCTAACGTGAAATTGAAGGCATTTTTTCGGTAGGATTATCCCCCTTATTTGCTTACTAATATAGTACGTAATAGCGATTTTTTTCAGATGGAAGAGGAAAGACTTACCACAGTGGAAAGGGATAACCGAATTCTACTTCAAAAAATGGCATACATAATGAAATACGGGGGAAGTGTAGATAATCAAAAACACGATTATAAGAAAAAAAGGTATTAATAGTATTTACTAATCAGAAACACGTTTATATATAAAAGGATATCAATGAGTCCAAATGTTTGCTTTTCCAGCTGGCTTCTTGAGGAAAACATGTTTAAAATGTACGAAAATGTAACGCAGCTTTTAAAGCTTCTGTATTTGTATGAAAACTAATTAAAGCGCTATCGAAAACACGAAAAACCATGCATTTCTTGAATTAAAAAAATATTTGAAGAAGACCCCAATCTGATTAAAATCCGGTCTTTCACTTTGCTCCGTTTGATTTTCTTGTCGCTCGTTAAGTACTGCAACGCTCAAAACTATAAATGTTAGGAAATCGTCAATTTGGATGCATCGGATACATCAATTTTCTTTTTATTATGCAAGTTATGCTGAGAATTACAAGATTGGCTTTCGGTTGACATCCTATCTCGAAATTACAACCATTTCCACACAATATATGTGCTGTAGAAGGGAACTGTCATTTAGTTTTAGAAACAATTATCAGAAATTTAAATCAATTCGTAAAATTCTAGCTTCAAATTAAGGAAAAACCAAACCAGAGATGTGCATATCATTCTTATTTACACAATAAATACGAGCTCATGTGGCGAGTTTGGGATTTGACTTTATGAACGAAATCTCTCATTTACTACATTTTTATTTTTATTTTAGTTTAAATAAGACAAAACGACAGAGAGAACTATTAAGAATAACACATGAAAATTTGGCAATTTTGAAACGAATAACTTCAAAAGAACCGCATTACAATCACCTACGATGGAAACATGAAAATCAGGTTAGTTTATAATTATCAATTAAAAATAAATGTAAATCATAAAAATGTACAAAATAGTAAATAAAACAATCTTGTGTAACACAAGATTGTTTTATTTACTATTTTTGAAACATTTATGTATAATAAGTATTTTAACGTGACATTCGCTAGTTATCTTCTTTGAAATATTTTGGAATGATTTTCTGGCAACAGTGATCGTTACAACCAGGGGTATCATGTTTTTGTGTTGGTCTTTGTCCGCAAGAAACAATTCAAAAAGACGAATAAGTGAACCATTGATGTTTCTTCACTTTTAGCCCCATTCAAATTTGTTTGAGTTTTTCTTTTAATAGTTTGATTTGGTACAAAAATGTTTACGTTTTGAAAGAGCCACCCAAGCGGGGTAACATGGACCTCTTTATCTCAATGGCATGTTATATGCATGGCTTTATCTGCCTGTCCCAAGTCAGAAGCCTTTAATTGAGTGGTTGTCGGTGGTTGCTGTCTGTTATAACTTATCATAAATCAGGCCGATAGTTTTTTTTCACATTTTGTCATGTCGGGGCCTTTTATAGCTGAATATGCGGTATAGGTATTTCTTATCGTTGAAGGCTGTACGTCGATCTATAATTGCTTAAATCCACGTCATTCGGACTGTTGAATAGTTGTCTCTTTGCCAATCATACCACATCTCCATATTTTATTTTATACAAAACACTTTCATATACTGCGTGAACACATAATAAAATTTGAAACCATTTGTTTGTGATACGATATACTAAATTTATACTGAGAAATGGTCGAATCAGATATACACGTGCATTTGTATCGAGTTATGACAACTAAAACTGTAGTGTCTCACTGTCACAAATACACAGCTTGAATATTGTATAGACACTTAGGCTTAACAATTGTTGAAGACCATATATATTGACCTCTAGATCATCTAATCGTGTCTTGATTTTTTTAGATAAGTAGGTCGCTGCCGCATTCACGTAAACTCATCTCAGTTGTATGTTCGTGTAGCCCTCTCATTTGTATGTTAGACGCATCGTGCAAATGATTGAAATTTAGTTACAAAAAATCAAAAATAATGTTAAAAATATGACAGAAAGAGAACGGAAAATAAATTGTCGCAATGCACTTCCTTTTAAATTTGCATGCAATTTGAATTTGAAAACGCTTCCCAGGAATTGAAGTTTTTAGTATGAAAAAATGTTGATGATTATTTTGGTTTGTCCAATATCGTAAACATTACATTGAACTGTCGATTTCTACTTTACTGTTAATGTTTTTATTCTAATGTTTACCTTTCAGATAAATCAACAATATCTTAACAATATATCCAAATTCCCACACAAATGGAGACAGGGACAAAGTCATTACAAATTATACCAAATGCAACAACTAGCTGCAAATGAACGCATCAGGCAACAAGTAAGTTGAGATTGAAATTTTTTAATTTTGAATACCAAAATCTGATTGGTCGATAATTTCCTTGCAAACTACGATGAAAAGACAACTTATGATTGGTTTAAATTTGAATGACCTATGAGTTTTGAAGATACACATTAGGAAGTTACATTATGATTTCGTTTACTTTATATACATCCATGATAAAAGATTAATAATATTGCTAAAAAATAAATAACAATGAAAAAGAATGGAACCTTAAGAATCTTAATCGAATGCTAATGAATAATGCAATACCATAGAAATAGGACCAAACTCAATATAGAAATAAGAAGATGTGGTATGAGTACCAATGAGACAACTCTCCATCCAAGTCACAATATGTAAAAAGTAAACAATTATAGGTCAAAGTACGGCCTTCAACACGGAGCCTTGGCTCCCACCGAACAGCAAGCTATAACGGGCCCCAAAATGACTAGTGTAAAACAATTCAAACAGGAAAACCAACGGTCTAATCTATATAAAAAACGAGAAACGAGAAACACTTAAGAAATAAGATTCTTCCGCACCACATTTGTGTCATATTTCATGTTTAAAACCAAGTCAATGTATCGTTTTGCAGGTAGACACCAGTCAACAACAGAATACTGCTGAAACAGCGTTAACCACGTTACTTAACCAAAAGAGAGGCAGCCTCGTTCCAAAAAGTCCCCCTTTGATAAAGATATAAACATCATGAAGCACAATTATAGTATTTCTACATATATTTCAGTTACTTTTTATGCCCCACCTACGATAGTAGAGGGGCATTATGTTTTTCGGTCTGTGCGTCCGTTTGTTCGTTCGTCCGTCCGTCCGTTCGTCCGTCTGTGCCGCTTCAGGTTAAAGTTTTTGGTCAAGGTAGTTTTTGCTGAAGTTGAAGTCCAATCAACTTGAAACTTAGTACACATGTTCCCTATGATATGATCTTTCTAATTTCAATGCCAAAGTAGAGTTTTGACCCCAATTTCACGGTCCACTAAACATAGAAAATGATAGTGCGAATGGGGCATCCGTGTACTATGGACATATTTTTGTTATTAAACTTATTTTGGAAAGAAAATTGCTGTTTAATTAAAGACCTGTCAGGGTACTGTTAGTCGTAGCTTCGGATACTGATTTTACGGTCTACAAAACATGAAGCCTGAAAAAAGTTCGTTTTCAGCTGAAATGGTTTTATTACATATTAAGTACGATACCAATTACTTGGGAACTGGTAGCAGTGTAGATGGATTTGAAGGGAAGCAGTAATTCAGTAATTGAGGACAAATCATACTCAATATATTTTACATTTAAAACCAAAAATACAAAAAAAGAAAATATTTATTTTATATATACATATACAAGTTACTTTACAAAAGTAATATCACAGTTAGCTTCGACGAACCACAACTTGGGTTGTATGCAAATATGTTCAGATTTGCACAAAGTTGATGAAAAGCTTCAATAATCCTGCACATCGAGTGTCATTCCTGTCTTACTAATACACAAAGTCATATCAAATCTGATTGACTTTATAAAAAAACAGGAAGTTCTCATTTATATTGAAACATCATTTCCATTGCCGCCTCGTGTTCTCGTGCTTTCAGTCGAAGAGCAGCAATGCTTCCTGATCTTTTGGGTTCACCTGGTGCATGACAACCTGTGTAAAACGGAAACGGCGCCAACCCATAAAATGGAAATGAAGGAAAAATTGGCATTGACGACGTTGATAAATTCAATGGCATATCTTGTTCATCATCGTTTTTGCAATCTACCTTTCTATTTACCTGAAAAAATGTGGGAAAATTTCAACAATGGGAATTAAACACACACACACACTGACACACACAAACACGCACAGGTATGCTTAATAACGTTACGACTATTCTAAATATATTGGCCTTGGCACTTTATACGAGAAGGAAACTGTGGAATCCTGCACTACAATCAGATTCCTTTAAGTTTAGATTTCACGTATTTGCTAGTGTACCGGTCTTTAACTATAACTGATAATAAATTTACTGGAATAACAGAGATTGTTTATATCTCATATGAATTAACTTATATATATATATATGTAACCGTAAAATAGGAAATAACGTTATATATATAACGTTCGAATGTTTAATACTCTGATGAGTCAAAGAAGTGAAGTACAAGTTCTCCTTAGAGTCTTTTTATATATATGCTTTTGCCGGTTATTTTAGTTTCAAATGAAAGTAAACTACAACGTAGATAGAATCATTCCCATATATTAATATACCTGTGCTTGATCTAAGCCTAGTGCCAGCTCATCTTGTCGTGGAATACTTGACTTTGGTGCCGGAACATAATTGGTTTCTGTAAGCCCCTGTAGTCCTCCAAAATTTCCAAGTTTTTCATACTTTCTCCATTTTGCTCTTCTGTTTTGAAACCAAATCTACATAGAAAAAAAAAGACTTACAAACATTATCAATCTACTTTTATATATATTTATTTAGACAGACTTATAAGTGTACAAATAACGTCCAAAGGAGATTTTGATATATATTATTTCCCTTACATATTGGAGTGGTTTTTACTTTTACAGAAGAAATGGTCTATAAAATTTACTAATTGCCTGTGAATTTTGTAAATAAGTTCAAACACATTTTTTGGTAATTTGAATTTAAAAAACATACCTGTACTCGAGCTTCCGGTAAACCTGTCTTTTGTGAAAGTTCTTCTCTGGTGTTGACGTCTGGGTAATGAGTTACTCGGAATACATCTTCTAATGTCTGTAGCTGGTCTGCACTAAATGTTGTCCTAATACGTCGTTTCTTGTAACTGTTATCACTCATATCTGAAACCACAGGAAATTCAGGAACTTCATTCTTCAATTCATTAATGCATAGTTTACGTCTGTTTAGAATCTTCGAGTGAATGCTTTGTAAATTCTCGTCCATATTATCTTAAGTTTTGTTTAAGTACAATAACATTTGGAAAATTAAACATTGATAATACTTCTTTCGCGTAAAAATAAAGCAGTAAATATAGTTTAATGTTAAATACATTATTACGCTGACAAGAAACGTTATTGTCTTAGCCGTATTTTGCTTATAAATGCTGTTCAACTTAATTTGGCTTCAACTGTTTTGATTCGAGCGCCATTGATGAGTCTCATGTAGACGAAACACGCGTCTGGCTTACCAAATTATAAGCCTGTTATCTTTGATGAGTTTTAACTAACTTGTAGGGAAAATATTATTGTTGTGCATACGAACGTCCTGGCAAATTTCTGCATAAAGAATAATTACAATAAAACCACTTTTAAATAATAAAAATTGTAGATATTTTACCATTATATAATTCACTGTCACCGATATGTTCTCTATCTAATACATTGTCAGAACCATGTATGTCATTCCAGTTTATTTCCTCCTCGCTGCTTTCCTGATCATTTCCGGATGTCCTTGATACTGGCGACAGGTCACGACCTATAATTATCAAAACAGGAATCATAAATACATAATATATGTATGTTCCTAAAAATCACCACGTTCGAGTCTATATTAATGTATTTTTTTATTTATTAATGTCATTGAAGTTGATACGAGTAAAGAGGTTTATATTTTTGTTACTATCATCCAAACGCAAATGTCGCTGCCTCAATATAAAACTGGTCTAAGTAAAAACCAACTGACAAAAACACCAAAATTTTCAGGGAATGAGTTCAAAAGTTTTGGATTTTGATTTCTTAGAAACAATAGAAGCTGAAGCTGGAGAGATGCAAAATAAAAAATAACAAACAACAGCCAAGATATCAGACAAGTAATCCAAGTTCAGAATAAGGATGTGTGGGGCAGGGTGGTGGGTGTAACATTTATTATTTTCAAATGATTTCAAAATCAGTTTAATCACTACAAATTGCATGAACATGTCAATACCGAAATACTGAGCTACTGTGCTGTTTATTCTAGGGCTTCAATGCTATCCATAAATCCGCACCATTCTTAATGAGTCGTATGAATATTTATCAAAATTTATTGACGATCAATGAAAATCGGTTATGCATCTTTATTGGTGCATAGACTTAATAACAATCAAGATTAACATTGTCGACTGACATTACTGGCATTTTCTCATCTATTTCCTCAAAGTATTTAATAATAAAAAGGAGCTAATAAATTTACACAGAACCATTTCAAACTTTTTCTATAATTCGCTTTCCTTCTGGTCACTTAATTGTGTACTTTCTAGTCGAAAAGGAGAACTGTACACACTACATATGACTTTAATAAAAAGATAACTTAAACATGTTTTATTTGTGCTAAACAAAGCTTAAACTATGATTTTGGCAAAATATAAAACAAATAAAGACTACTTGAGTATTTTGATAATGCACTTTTTCTAACTAATCATTGAACGCTCATGCCAGGTGATCACCGTCGTCTAACCTTTACCCTTTATAATTTACCTCTTGCAAAACAAATAATATCCGCTTAGAAAATATTATTTGTAATTTATAGCGGCTATCATGGTCACCCTTATCGATATAATCTCCTGGTTTTCTTTGAGAGAAAATTCATTTAATATCTTCATAATGTACATGCTTTTATTCTTTAATTGGTTCTGTAAACGATCGTCTGCAAATCGCCATAATGGCCGTTTCAAGTGTTAATCGGAAGACGTTGCTTAGATCGTCTAAAGGGCTCTTTTTCATCATGGCCTTTGATGGTTTAAACATTATAAAACTAAAACTTCATTTATTGCAATTATTCTAGATAAGATAAAATATTGCGTCCAATATGAATGAACTAATATACCTTTTAAAAAGATATGGCTCCGAAAGGTGCAAGGTTCGAAACTATTTACGCCCAGGTGTGAAGTTGATATTGTCCGATTTTTGTCACGAAATTTTTATTTAGTGTTAAGAGAATGTGTCTGTTGTGGTTCTGGTCCAAATTTAAAAACACCTTTATAATCATGATCATTTTACCTATAACATATGAACGAAGAGACATTTGGTTTATTTGGATTTACTTGAAATCCAAAATCAATTCAAAACATTTTAATTTCAGTATATTTGTTTTTAATCTGACCTTCTTGGAAATTTGGAAAATCAATTATTATTATTATTATTATTATTATTATTATTATTATAAATAATCTTTTGGAAAGCACAAAGAAAGTAAACGTAAATATAAAATAAAGAAAGAGTCGCCAGAAGTGTTTTTTTAAGCATATTTTTCAATTTGTTTTAACTAATAAGTAATGTTGTTCTTCAAACCATTAAGCAAGCAAATCAATAAATCATCAAACAAATTGACAACATTTATAATACACACACATACGTAATGAAAAGTCAAATAAAAAAAAAAAACAAATAACTACATAAAATCATTTAGTATTTCCGTGTCTGCAATTTTATCTGCAGATTTTGAAAATGTTAGCATAATGGCTGAAATATTTGAACATGGTGATTTGCAGTCAATGGTATTTATGCAATATTTTTCATAATCGTTAATTGCAATTTAATACGTTGATAATAGATTTTAAACAAATATTCGTGGTATAAATATTATATTGCATGCAAACAACTCGGAGAGACAGATATTACGTGACAGATGACATTGTAAGATTTTCTTGGCAATAGGAAACGCTTCAAAAGGAACTTGGTCGACAGTTGTCGTATGTTATTTCAGAAAAATTTTCGTTAATTTGAGAGTTTGCTGTCTAATAACAAATCTTTAATTGTTTCTTTTAAATACACTTACAAATATTAAAGACTCATGACAATATATAGATTGACATATGTTTAATGTTGAAGACTTTATGTTGCCCTCAATATATTTTTTTTTAATTTCTCGTTGTGTTGCTGCCTCAATGACGTATACCACAACACGCATCTCCCTTTATTTATATTCAGGAATAAAAGTCCTTAAGAAATCATTTTGAAAAAAACATCTGATGGATATTTTATATCATTTTGGGAGTTTTCAAATACCGAACATAAGTTTACATAAAAGTATGGCCCTTCTTTTCCTTAAAAACATTATCTAGGATGATGATTAAATTTTGTCCAAATGTGTCATGTAATCATTCAATATTTCATATTTTCGACCAGACAGATAACATATTGCAGATACAAATCTTTTTATATCAATAATGATAAATTACAGTTTGAATTTCTGCTCATCATTCTAGGTCAAGTACAGGAAATCGAGAGCCATAATTTTACGTAAAATTATTGCAAGTGTTTTAAACATTACATCACGAAATGAAATATTGGTAATTCTTATATTAACTTCAAACTCTTCAGGTTTTATCATGGCAATAAACAGATCCAAGCGATATTTGAGACGATTATATTTTATAATTCGTATTTATACCCTTAAACACCGAAGCAATTTATAACACTCTATTGCTTTCGAATAAATTAAAGAGAATTCAATGACAATAAAACATCATGCAATGCACATTTTCATTCTTTGAAAACGGAAAAAAATTATCAGATAGTACATATAACTATCGTTATTCAAAATCGACGAATTCCCAAATTCACAGTACCCTTTACTAATGACGTTTATTTTTATTTAATTACAAGTCGACAAAAATGTCTTTAATCAGTGCCACTGTACTGGGACAACCATAAAGAGGTAGGTCTAATTACCTCTGATTTTCAACCAGGGCCATGTTCAACAAGTCTCTCGTTTTTACTTTATTTCACAATATCACAGCCCAATGTGTGTTAAATTATAAAGTGCTTACAATATTGTGGCGTATTTATGAACAGATAACTAAATTATAAAATCCTGATCATAAGATAGGGCAAAACCGCAATTTTGACGGATTTTGGCAAATTTTGATTATTTATCTCAAAAATGTATAAGTAGGACATTGTAGACCAAAACCAAAATTATGTTAGATGTAAAGCTATGAATTGAATTCGAACACAAATTTATTCGTTTTGGTTAGCGACGTCTTCCGTAAAAAAATTACAAGACATGTAAAATTAGCAATTTTTAATCAAAATGCCTTTTACAGCAACATGTGATGCTGAATGACTTTTTCAGCTTATTGAAATATTATAAAAAAAATTTAGTTTATGATAAAGACTTTTGAGTAATTTTCAATTTCCAATAGGATTTGACAAATTTTAGATTATGATCCTGTAAGTGCAACAAATACAAGGGAAATTAGCCCTACCACAAACTAAATCAATGTATCTACTTTTGTCATAACTTTCCATGTATATTTAGACACTTACTACAAAGAAACTGAAAATGACATCGTGAGATGCATACAGAAGGAACGTTGTCTTCGACTAATCGTGCATGAAGTTATGTTTTGGAGGATTTTAAGCTTTTATATAATATATGCTGAAGCCCAAAATGTATGAGAGTTAAGCATACTTCATAGATATTGGCATCGTGAGAGGCAGCGTTACTGTATTACATAATTACAGAGCATTCATGAAGGGATACCTACGCAAGAAGATCGAATGATGCAATGAAGGTTTTTCTTAAATAAAAAAAAAACAAAAAAAATATTTTACTTTGAAAAACTTGCAAAACATTTTTTAGATGGTTTTTATCGGTTTATAAAATACATTAAGATGCAATCATGCTTGAAAATGGGGCAATTATTTTCCAGTACATTCGAAAGTTGCATAGTATATATGGCTGTAAACAAGAATTATTTTTTTCTTATTTGTCATAGGACCGCTTTCCATTTTTGCAGACTTAATTCAGTAAATAATTTGAAAAAAAAGACTGAGCCAATATCAAATATGCATTAGCCCTAAGAAAAGGTGGACGTTCGTATGCTCTGTTTTCGTATATTGATTAAAATAAACGCCAATTTTTTTTTAAGAATTCCCTTTTTAAAGGATTAAAAAAGAAACATCTCATCTTAATTGTTCTTACAGTGAAACCATACTTTGAGAGCTTCCCCTATTATTTGACTTTACGTGCATTTTTGAAGATTATGCAGGAATATTCAATGCTAATAATGCTTTGACATTTTCACTTGTATATACATTTACCCATTTCTTTTCATTTTCATTAATAATAAAACAAAAATAAGATGTTGTTTTCACCAACATTCATAAAATATAAAGCATAAAATGTTTTACACCAAAAACATGAAAAATTGTAATACTATAACAAAAATTTTATTGAAATATATAAAGTGCCTACCTAAAACATCATCTGAAACTCCACCATCATCTATTGAAGGCTTCCTTAGGATGGAATCTATCGAATGTTTGGTAACAAACTTTTTACACATTTCTGGAGATTCGTCTGAACTCATTTTTAACATCTTTCAATCACAAAATGTTTGGTAGGTTATATTTAAAAACCAGATTTCTTTAAAAAGTAATTTTCTTTGATTTATAAGACCATAAGATCAAACCAAATTGGTACAAAGACCCTCTAATCCATTAGTAGCATTTTCAGAAGAATTTTCTCAATAAATATTACCGTTGTTTACACAAATTTGCGACATAAGTCATAAATTTTCAATTGTACAGTTATACTGTTCCTTTTGCTGCTCTCGGAGTGGCCAGAATTTGAAGTGTTTATTTATTCAAATTGGCCTTGTTGCGAGATACCTGTGTGCTTCTGTGATTTCTAAAGTTTACTGAGAAAAGGTGGGCAAATCCTCATATGATACAAAGATGACATATAAATGACATGCTTTTTTAATTTTTGTGTATAGTAACGCTTACAATTCTGCATACTATAGTAATAATTACGAATCATGATTTTTTTTTCATTTCCGTTGTTGTTTTGGTGTCTCAAGGGATTACTTTATAGTATTTCATTTTTTTAAAGGAATTGCTGACAGTGAAAAAGACATCTAACTTAAGTAGCTAAAAAAGACGTTTTTTTTTCGATGTTAAAATATCTGCAGATATTTCTTTGATGACTTATTTTTATTCAATTCATTTTACAAGGTCAGTTTAGGAATGGCCATTCAGATCATTCTTAGTGTTTTAAAATAGGCGTATTACTATTGGTTAACAATATACTGCAGCTATTCAATCATTGCATCTTGTATTTTTGAGGCTAAACATGAATTCTCCCATAGAGCAGGAATACAATGAGTTTTTTGAAGCTCATTGAATTCCTATACATATATTTTAGGCATTACACCAGAGCGTGCTTTCCTGTACTGTTTATATGAAACTGCTGTATGGAATCCTATATATTTATGAAAACATGCTACAACTGATATGTATCGATTATCGGGGTTTCTTCCCATTGATATCGTAAAAAATCAGCCGCGAGCCACAATGTGAACCTTTTTGGCGAGTGAGTGCAGCGAACAGGCTAAAATGTTTCAAACTGTGTCGAGCGGCTGTTATTATACGATTTCTTTTCGTAGAAATCTCGATAATCTGTTTATCGGTCTATTACTGATCATTCCCCCTTCCTTTGACAATTGTACACTTGACGTAAGATGACGTCTCCCCACACATTGTGACGTCGCTGATAATGTCTGCTCAAGTCTGAGCGACTGAGCTGAGTGATATATGCGAAGGGAAGGGCGATAATAGAGTGTATGAGGCATAAGCATATCAAGAACATTGAGATAGCTCTCAGTAAATACGGGCAATTTATACGCTTTTATTACATTTCTTGAGTTTTTATGTATTTTACAAGTCTTATAGAATAAAAAGTTTTTTAAGTTCTGTTTTTATTGCATGTGGTAAAGGTTGAGATCTAAAAAAAAACCAGTTTAACCCCACCAAATGTCAATATGCATGTCCCAAGTAAGATACCTCGTTTGTAGTTGTCTTTTTCTGGTATCAATATCAAATCTTTATTTCTCTCTGTTAAATTAATTTTAAGATTTGGGGCGATGTAGAGCTTGACATATTTTATAGATTATATTTTCATTTTATGTGTCGTTGTGTTTGTTGTCTCATAGACTTGAACCCTGTATCTAATCTATTATTAGTACTGGTTAGTTTTGGAGGTCATAATTTCATTGATGCGTACTTTGAATCAGTATAAATATTTTAAATTAATGATAGGCTATTTCTGCACAGGCACTTGTCTCAAAAAAAAATTTCTTATATACCTTAATATAACTGTTATATTAAGGTATATAGGAATTTTTTTTTTTTGAGACAAGTGCCTGTGAATGTATTGTAGAAAAACTATTAGATACAGCCCGTGAATAGCTTTTTTGAAAATTTACTTATCAAAGTTCTTCTTATGACGTCAATACAAATTTCAATCTTCTACCCAATGCAATTGGAACAGGCCAAGTTCCATTGAATTGTAGAACAGGAGATATACAGCGCATATGTGCACAAAATAGATCTTTTAATATTATGTTTGTTATAACAATAACCTATCCGACTTGAATATTTAGTATGTCAAACTCTGCGCTCTATGTTTCCAAGGCTTAATCTGATCGAAATCAAAACGATTTTGTCAACTCTCACCATAATCTCTAATTTTGTTATAATTTGATTGTAAAATGTGAACTTTTAAGTATAAAAAAGCTAGACACAATTTAAATCGTTCTATTTCGCTTTCTCGTATTTATGCATGAGTTAAAAGACTTTTCATCTTTAAATAATGGACTTAATACTGGGAGTCAAGAGAGGGTCTTGTTGCATCTACAATGTAGCTTCTTAAGCTTGGCTTAAGAGTGCGACCAACGGTTCCAATATGTTACAGGCCATATAGAGCTTAAACACACACATTTATATTTATATAATAATTTTATTACGTCGTATTTTCAATATATTGAAATACAGTAACTGCTTATGCGTTGCCCTTTTGGTATGCTTTATTTTATTCTAGGGATTAACTATGTCACACGTGGACCTCATTTGACAATCCACCTTAACAAAAACAAAACTGATCTTGATTTTTCTTCTTTTTTCTCGAATTTAGTCAATTTATTTTGACATTTTAAATCAATTACAAAAAAATATCAGGACTATATAACAGTACGGCGATGTGGCATGATGACCAGAGAGACGACTATACACTGACGATCAAAAGGACAACGAAGTTAGTAACCAACTACAGATTACCGTGCGGCCAGTAACAATGAACAAAACCGATATAATATACAAAGCTATAAAAGGCCTAAATGTTGTCTTCAAAAGGAAACAAATAAATAAATGTTGCAAATAATTTAAACATTACAATTTGAATAGGAACAGAACTCTTTCAAAATAAAATACTTATTAAAAGCACAAAACACATGTCATGCACAGAATGGCACGTATACTGTTTAGTTAAAAACAATGACGTAATAAGTCAGGAATAAAACAACCAATCCTCTAATTAAATATATATATACATAATAAAACATTGACGTTAAATGTTTTTCAGTCTTATTTTAAAGAAATAAATGTTAATAACCATACTGGTTTGTGTCTGGGTCTTTATTTGTAGATCTATGGTTATATATTATTACAGATTTTTTTTATGTCTTGATAATATAGGCCTTGATATCATGAAATCCATTGAGAACCTTGTTTTTTCCCTCTTTGGTTGCATGGACCTGACAATCATAGAAAATCTCATTGAGAGTTTAATGTACAGTGCCTTTCATTCTAAACATCAAACATTTCGGAAATTACTAGCAATGCTAAAACCTAGATAGTTTACTTTGTTTAAATTATCAAAAGAACAATTAATTATGACTTAGATATTTTGCTTGATTTATAAAATGTATGTCTTTAAATCTAAATAACTATTTCATTTACAATTTAAATAAAATACCTTGCATTGTGTTGGATTTAAAAGAAAAGTAGCGATCCGAATTTTGACAATTTACATTAAGAAAATACAAATGTATAGTAATCGATAATTTAATAATGATAATGAAAATTATGATTATCAAAAATATTATTTTCAAATAATTAAAAGTACCAGGTTCGTTCCTTGCGCAATTCTGATAAATTTTTATACTTGAATTTTATGGCTGTCAATGAGTTATATGATTTATAAGAAAAAAGATTTATCGAATTCTAATTTGCAATTTATTTAGGATTTATGGCAATAAAAATCTCTAAGACACAAATCGTGACTGTTACAGTGAAGTTAAGGGTCAAGATTTAACGGCGACGAGCGAATTTAAAAGTCTTAAAAAGTTATTCATCGCTTAATAAGTTGCTTATCGCTATATATATGTTTAAAGTATACTTAAGCCATGGTTATATATATGCCACCAATGGAATAGTTATAAATGACGTTAAAAATGATAAACTGATCAATTCTTCAAATCAGCATAGATATACACACTTGTGTAATCTTGACAAGACACTCAACGGTTGCCAATAAGTGATCATTCGTTTCGTTTTATCACTAATTCGGAGTAATTTAACGGGTTTATTTTCCAAATAAATACCAATTATTATTTATGATATGATAGATGACATATTAAATCTACCTACATTATACGAATTATATAAAACAAATGGTCTTTAAAATTGGTAATGTGAACATAAATATCTCATTACTGTAAAAAGTCAAAAGTTAAACCGAAAATCGTAGAGAAAAATAAGTGGCATGACGTACTTTATACTGGAGAGATAATTAACAAAAAATAAAAAAGGCTTGTAATATTTGTTTTATTATTTTATGATATCTTGTTAAATTATCTTGTGAACGACAATGAGATGCTTTTTAAATTTTTTTTATTTCTTTTTTATTGTTCTTCCAATTGATTATACCAAGGACGTATAACTAACATCTAATATACGTCCTTGATTATATTATTTCATAAGCCAACATTATTTTTCCCATGCACAGGTTAAATAGCATATATGTTGCATTGAACAACTTTTAATGGCTGGCAGCTTGCCGATTTGATTTTCTAAATAGAATTAATAGTTTTCGTTTTGTGATTCAAATCCAATAATAACAAATTTTCTTTCTTTTTCTTCGTCTTCTATAACTTGAATAATGCTACATTGGTGTCTTACAATGAGTTATTTTACATTTTCAAATGTGTTTATTGCTTATATGAATATGAAAAAGATGAAATATGTGGCTGTTATAATTTCCTAGAAATAAACAAAGTTAAAGATCATTTAGATTGAACAGCAAATGAATTCAATGTAAGGTAAATTTCGCAAAAAATTACACAGCCCAAATAGAGAAGGTTTTATTTATTTAAAAAAAAAAAGCATGTAGGAAATTGAATATATTTTAGGAATTACTGTTATATTGTTTCTGTCTATGAAGAAATAACATAAAAAATGTGGGGCACACTGAATAACCCGCGTAGCGGATTATTTAAAAGTGTGCACCACATTTTTTAGGATATTTTGAATAGACAGAAAAAATATTACAGTCATTCCTTATAATTTAATTCTAAATTCCATTTTAAGGAGTAAATCATGATAAAAACGTTGAT